TTTCCATAGCTAAGATTTATTATTTTTCACAGTTCTGTGAGTTGCCCGGACTGCTCTAGTGATACTAGATATAGTTATTACTTAGTTACATTCAATTGGGTGCTGAGAAAGGCTGGAACATCAAAGACCTCTTCACACATGTACCTGACTGACATCTCAGTACCAGTGGCTAGAAGATCTGGCTGCTCACTGTGTCTCTCTCAATGTAGGGGTTTCTTGTCATTCAGTATTCTAGTCCAATGACCCTCAACCAGGGGTGATTTTTCTCCCACAGAGAACACATGGCAATGTTGGAAGACATTTGTGATTGTAATAACTTACACATCTGGTAGGTAGAGGCTAAGGATGCTGTTAAACATCCTACAATGCACAGGATAGTTGCTACTGCAGAGAATCATCTGGTCAGTCATCTGACCCCAAATCTCAGTGGTGCCAAGATTGAAAAGTTTTTGTCAAGCCTGAGCTTTTACATGGTGATTTGAACCCTAAGACAGTAATAGTGGAAGCTGCCAGATTTCTTAAGGCGTAGGCTCTGGTACTCACACATCACTTTTTCCACATTCTGTTGGTCAAAGCAAGCATCAAGGCCAGCTCTGATTCAAGAAGAGAGGAATTAGCCCTCCTCGCCCATCATGTACAACCACCAATATATGTTCTATCTCTATAGATTTTTGACCATGCTTACAGAAAACCTACAAAATTGAAGGAAATTGAAAGAGAGAGATTCATATGTGAGGTAATAGGTTTGGAGAAAGAAATGACCTCATACGAACATGAAATAAAGGCAGTTTCAATCTCTTTGCAAAGTGTTACATAAATATACTAGTTTCATAATCTGTACTGTCCCCAGCCAGGGACTGCTGTCCCCAGCAGTTTTCCATTAAGCAGGGCTTTCTTTCAATAGGCCTCTGCTCAGTCTGCTGGATCCCCTGTCCTCTGTGAATTCATCAAAGCTTCTGCTGACTCCGGAAGAATCTAGGGAATGATCACTGCAGTGAAAGTCTCAAATCATCCCCCAGGGCCTCCAGTAACAAAACATCTGCTTGTCATTCTCCCTGATCCCTCTGGGCTTTAGTAAGGAAGCTGCATTAAATGATAATGATAAACAACTTAAAAACCAAGCCTTCTGCCTTCTAAGAAGGAAGGTTTCATTCGAAGGCAGCTGATTATCCACTCATTATAATTTACAATAGCGGCTTTTTTTTTTTTTTTGCCTTCCATTGCTAATCTGTGAACAATGGTCAAAAAGATTTTTTTTTTTAAAGTCCAAGTTAATACATTTAAAAAATTAGAGGTCTGATGGTCCCCAAGAAGAAGAATCTTATCAAACATGTATTCCAAACCTCTCATTTTATTTATTTATTTATTTATTTATTTATTTATTTATTGTTTTTTTGAGACAGGTTCTCACTGTGAAGTCCAGGCTGGCCTTGACCTCACTATGTAGCTCAGGCTGGTCTCAAACTCATGGCAGCCTCAGCTTCCTGAGTGCTGAGATGATGGGCATGTGCTACCAATCTCAGCCAAACTTTTCATTTTATAGATGAGGAAACTGAAGCCTAGAGAGAAGGGACTTGCCCAGAGTAACCCAGCAGCTGGGATTGGTGCAGAGGAGAAGGATGGGAGAATATGTACTAGAACCAACGTCTCCATGCTGACTACAGCTTAAGGCTTCATCTAGGTAGATGAAAGGGTAGCCTATCCCTGTATGCCCTGTGCAGCCTGGAACTCCATACAAGAACCACCCAACAAAGTGGCAATTGATACACTTAGTGTCTCTATGATCACCAGCGTAGGAGGATAGCCATAGAACCAGGAGAAAACAATTCAGCAAGGGTTGGGATGTGGTTTAAACTGCAGAGGGGAGTGGAGTAGGGAGATGGTTGCTTTACATCAAAATTAATATTTTTTAATTTGCTAACATCCTATGTTTTTCATATAGTATCTGAGATCATGAACTTTCAGGACATCTGCAGCTCCCCTGGTGACAGGAAATGTGGATACTTGATGTTTGTAAACCATTAAGCCATCATGTTTCAGTCCAGTGATGGGCCAACAGCCAGTTATTTAGCTTTCCTTGGGAGAGTATGCAAAGAAATACTCTCTGTGTAAAAAGAGTATGCAAAGAAATACCACTGCCCTGTGGTCAGTCCTTCTCCTTAATATGAAATTCCCTCTGAGGCAGGAATTCTAAACCTGGGTTCATGTAGGCGATCCCAGGATCTGTGCAGCCCTAGAATTGTTTGCAGATGGGTTGGGAGGCACATTTCAGTAGAGAGGCTGTAAGACTTTCATCCAGTTCTTTTTTTTTTTT